AAAGTAATATTCTCATTGGAAAATCTGAACGTATGAAAATTATATAGCTCTTCTAATGCTTTGGGGTGGGGGGGGGAGAAGGAGGGTTTTACAGATAAGAACAATGAATTATGCAACTAGGTGCCAGGTTCATTGGCAAGACATCAGCAGAAATTCCTGGATACTTGGTTTGGCATGGCTTGATTCAACTCTAGGCTCGTACCTGGCTCAAGGCTCTCAGTCACCATCCAGCTAGAAAAGAATCTATCTCAACCAAAACAGTTGACTGCCCTCTGTCAACACAAAGGTGTGATTTCCTCTCTATACTCATTGTAGTTTAATTCTCACACTTTCTTCTTCCTCCTCTCCCATTGGCCTTGAAACTGAGGATTGCTGGTTGTTGACCGACCTGATATTGCTGCTCTAAAAAAACTCTGCCTTGTAACTTAACACCTACAATAACCATGATTAAATGAACCAGATCCAACTGTAGATTTGGGAGCTTCTTCAGAGGAAGAATCTGAGAAGGCTGCAGGGTCCACTCAGTCCAAAAAGCAATCACTGAACAGCCAAGGTCTCCAGATTCCACCAGAAGCACAACTGCCTCTAGATACTTCTCTCCATCCAACCTTAATTCTCCTTTTGAGCACACCCTACATTGCTTAGCTGCAACTTTCCCTTCACATATCAAGCTTCCAAAATTCATTCCATCTGAATTACAAGATGATGTTTCCCAGAGAGGCAGATCTTGAGTCATAAAGTAGCATTAACAATCTCAAATCGTGCAATCTCAGAATCGTGCAAGCCATGGTATTCCCTGTGACACTCTGTGGAAGTGAAAGTTGGACTCTAAAAAAGCAGGATAAGAAGAGTATTGATGCCTTTAAACTTTGGTGTTGGACCAAATACTCCTGAGAATACCATGGACAGCCAAGAAAACAAATTGATGGATTATTGAACAAATCAACCCAGAGTTCTCACTCAAGGCACAAATGACCAGCCTCAATGATCCTACTTCAGATACATTATGTGAAGACCCAGCTCTCTGCAAAAAGCTCTAATGCTGGGAAAGATGGAAGGAAAGAGAAGAGGACAACCAGCATCAAGATGGACAGACTCAGTTACAATGGTGGTGAGTGCACCATTGGGAGACCTGAAAGATGAGGTTAGGGATAGATCATCATGGAGAAAATCTATCTATGTGGTCACTAGGAGGCCAGAATGACTTGATGGCACATAACCATAATCCACAATATTTCAGATAGAGTAGATGTTTGACCCTAGTAGGAATAACCTTTCAAGTATCTGCTTGCTGTCCTTAATACAGCTATCTCCCCCCTGTGAACTGTCCATGGTTCTGACACTTTACCATTCATTTGCACGTTCCTTGCTCTTCAGCTCTGTCTTCTTCTGTCCACCAAGGCTAGAATCCAGCTACTTCCTGGACTGCCGGTGCTTACAGGAATAGGCAAATCTATTGAAGCTGATTTTGCCCGGTATCTCAAATATTTCCCTTTAAATTGTTCCACTTACTTTGCACAACTTTCCATATTCCTCAGGAAGCTTCTTAGCAGTGGATCTCACAATATATGCGTTTCTTGAAGCATATTGCCTGAATTCATTATATCACTGGAAAAGCTGTGGCTGGAATTCTCCATCCTGCTTTTGTCAGTGTTTTAACATTGGGAAATGGGAGCTGAGAGGCTTTGGGAAGCAAATGATCCTTGGAAACCCCTTATGGACTTTTTGCATGGAACGGGGAAAAAATGAACATATGATTTATGGTTTTGATGATTAGACAATGTAGATTGTAGAAAAATGAGAGTTATGTTGTAGCCATAGAACAAGAGGTATATTTATAAATGTACTTATGACTGCTGAAACGAAGATCAGAAGCTACTTCTGTGTATCTTTTTTCTTTCTTTTCTTTTTACTTCTTTCTTTTTTTCTTTCTTGAACTTTTAGCTCTCTCTTTGATTTCTTTTTCTCACTCTGTATTAGATTCCATTCATTTTTATCTTCTTTCTTAAAATCTTTAATAAAATATAGCAAATAATCTTTAAAATTTCCCCTAAATCCCCCCAAAGCAAGTAGAAATTCCAATTTACATTGGGGAAAAAAAGATTGCATTGCTGAAATTTCTCCTTTTCAGTAAGGGGATATCAGATGGTGCTGGAATGGCCACCTGTAGACCATGGATGATCTTTCCATCTTTGCCATCGGTGAGCCAGGAATCAGGAAAAGAGAAAATAGAAGCACAACCATGATGGAAAAAAGGTGATAGCTCACTGGTAGGACACATACTATGCAAGGGAAAGGTTCTGAGTTCAACACCTGTCATCTCTCAGGAAACGATAAATATTTGTGCTTGAAGCTCTCAACTGTTCTTCTCAATTAGCCTTTCTAAAGCCATATGCCCTTAAACTGAATCATTTCTTGGTGCAAGCTGAAATAAATCCTTGAGCATTTCTGGCTGCAAGCAGTGTCTCTAGAAGATAAGATCTTGAACTGAAGCTGTCTTCCATATACCTCGACCACCGACATGGGGGAAACAGCATCTTGCACATATAGGACAAAGCCACAGCCACATTTCTTGCTGCTCTAACTTTATGCTAGGAGAGGAGGAAAAGCATGTTATCCAGGGCAGTGATTTATAATCTGTAAATATTCAATGTTATATTCAGTGCAGGGGCAAGCTGTTTTTCTTGATGCTAGATATACAGGGGTGTGTGTAGGCATGCGTGCATACGGGGCTAGGGTTCAAAAGTTAAGAACGAAATTATGCAGAGATATTCTGTCTCTGAAAGCCAGAACACATGTCAGCATCTTGTTGCATCTTCATCACACATTAAGTTTGCCAGCAGTGATCAGCAAATGGGTCTGTTCAAATATCTGGACCTGAAGTTCATTGGAGACCGACTTAGGGGGAAAGAGTGGGAGGGAATAAGGTTTCCTCTGAACGGCATACAAAATGCTACTACTTCCATGCCTTTCCTTCCAATGGCTCAGCTCAAAATCCCCTCTCTCCAGGCGCAGAGAAAAACGGGTGATGAGAACTGTAATATTCTGTAATTCATTAATTCTGTAATTAATAGAATAATGCCTGCAGTGAATTCCCTTCACTGTTAGGCAGTCGCTCCCAGCACTGTATCACGATCTTTCCACCATTAAGCTAAAATATTCTTGCGTTTTAACATGCTTATATTTTTTCAAGATCGAAAGCTTTCTTAAACAACTATTGCAGGCTGTGCGTGCTGCGTAGTTACAGACGGTGTTGCTTTGTATGTTCTCTGGGAATTTGGGGAAAGTTAATTTGGACTCAAATCCAAACCTCTAAAACAAGCCACGGTCTGAATCTGACACAAAATCCTTCAGCCTGTGCACAAATAGGAGTGTGCTTGTGCCCTGAAATTTGCCCTTTTCAGAATTTTGCAGGGGGGTTGTATTAAAGAAATGCTCACAGTACAGGAACAAATAAGGTGATGAAAACATTGCAAGTCAAGAGAAACAAATGCCACAGGGGAAGGTTTTGTTCCATGGCAGATTAAATTATCATCAGTTTCTTTCTTGTTGCTTAAACACTCGCTTTCCAATGAGTGAATCAGCAGGACATTTCTGAAAACTTACCCTTCATCACCAGTTCTCAGAAAACCAACTGATTTCTTGAGAAATGCGACGTGCGCATTGTTTGGAACTGGGCTTCAGAGAGAAAGACATTTTTTTATTCCCTTTATGAATGTGAGGCTGCCAATGAGGGAGGGAGAGTGATATTTGAACAGCATGAGAACTATTCAAGGGCCGGCAATTGTGTGTCTGGAACTTTTAATGGTAAAACTGCTAAACCCTGCAGGATGAAGAATTCCCATTTCACACTTTTAAAATTGAAATCCTCGATGAGTTTTTGCACTGGGGAGAAGGAGCAGTGTTAAATAACCTATCCCTTTTCCCTCTTACAACAGTAACTATATACCGGGGAAGAACTGGTTGAATTTCTGAATTGTCAACCAGATCTGCAGTTAGAGACAGCTCAGAATAAGGTGACCTTCCAAAAGGGAGTCAGAAGACTCCCAATATAACCTTTGGCATTATCTGTGTTAATAAATATCACACCTTCTTTGAAATTCACTGTTAGACTATTTGCGTCTGGGCACAAATGTCCACAGATGTCTAGAGTTCGGAAATATTACTCATTCTTATTCTCACTAAGGTAATCACTTTTACACATGCTTATTCTCACTGAAATAATTGCTTTTAAAATGGCATGATAAATACCCCAAACATTTCCCCAGTGCAGGAATAACAGGGAGATTCTGCTGTTCTATCTACCAAAGCGCTAATTCACACATCACCCCAAGAACTATGGTTTGTTTTAAGCGCGATCTTATGAAAAAGCTATAATTGCTTAGTTCATACATAGCACTAAACCATAAGCAATGGTTTATAAACCCCAATGGTTAGTTCATCCAGCATGCTAAGCCAATACTGAACAAATTAGATTATGACTTTGTGAAGGAACCAAGCCATATTCTTCAGATCCTTTTCTTAATACCTAAAACAGACGCAATATTAATGTACTGAGCAAGATGTAGATGTAAATATTCAGAAAACTCTTTGGGACTATGGATAACAATTTATCTCCTAGGTCTGTAGAGATGGGCTAATGGAAAGCCACGGCCATTCAGAAACATTTCATATTGAAAGAGCTTATGGAATCTCCCAATGAGAATAAAACCAGCTGATTCCAGCCTTGCGCATAACTTGAGACTGGAAAATGTGAGGGTCAGCATCTTCACTGGATTAAATAACGTTAAGAGTCCAAAATGTGTATCAAACTGGTTGCTAGGTTAACTGCTCCAACGTCAGGTGGGATTTATGGGGATTATGACGCAACAAATAACTTAATAACTTCTATACAATGTAAATCACATGTGGAGATGGAAAAGCACAGGAAGTGGTCCGGAAGCATTTCCTAAAATGCAAAGATTAAGCACAGCCTGGAGTTGGACACAGAGATGCCGCCCCCCCCCCCTTAAAGGAGATGCGGTCTATTCACTGTTGTACCAAGAAAGCAACAGATTTGCAGATTATTGCAAAGGAAAACCAACGATGCGTTTAAAGGAAACGATCGTTCAGATCTATAGTTTGAAATGGGGGTGGGAGAGGGGGATAATGGCAATACTGTACTATTTCGGACAGTACATGTAGGATGCTTAATGATGCTTCAAACTGGCTATCAATCCTTGGAGACTCAGATGGAGTAGAAGAATCCCATAAACAACAGGACACTGGTTTGTCTATTGAAATGAAGAACATCTTCATCCAATAAGGATATCCCATCTGGAATCATGGGCCTTGCAATCATGGCCAACAATGTTTGAAAAAAATGATTTCTTTGTTGGCACAGTCAATTTGCATGTGTATATGTCTATGCGTGTGTGCATGTGTGTCTAACCTTTTCTGAACTTATTAGATCTATCTATCTATCTATCTATCTATCTATCTATCTATCTATCTATCTATCTATCTATCTATCTATCTGTAATTTTTATGAAGTGCACATGGAGAACCTGGACTGAAAAAAAGGATGTCGTAATTATGATTTTGCAGGAGAATGCCAGAAGATGCAGAGAAGCAAACCTGCCTTTGTCATTAGGCCTGTTCCTTTGGCCGTTGCTCTCATTATGGGATGCGATGATTATTTCCTTGGCTTGAAAAATGAGTTTCCAGTATGTGGGGTGTCTCAATAAAGAATCCATTAAAGAGACGGGCAGCATCTCTTGCTAAAAGAACGAGAGCATAAACCAGACTCCCCTCCCACTCAGACACCGTAAACTGCATGAAATTGATTGTTCTATCTCTGCCCTGAGAGTTCATCCGGCCAAATTCATGGTTTCCCTGCTCAAGGCACCAGCATTCATAATTTCCCTCGGTGAGATGGTTTAGAAATTCAGCTGGTGGGTACAGGAGGACCTGTGATGACATGGATGTAGCTATCAGTTAGCTAAATCAATTATTTCAACCAGGAACATAACTCAGGTAAGTCACTGATTCAAGAGCCCTAATCTAGTATTCTGCTGAACAGAACAGAAGAGACAGGACAGACAGGACAAACTTTATTATGGTCAGTGAGTGAACAGTGCAAATACTCTGTTGAAACCTGCTTTTCCATTTGTCAAAAGTTTTGTTTTCTCCCTTATTCTTGGATAGTGGCAAATTTCTTTCTCATTCCTCTTGGTGATGTTGCCAAAAGAGTGTTACTGTTGGAGCCGGTGGAGGTAGCCACCACAGGTGATGTTTTCTGTCACACTGTCTTTCCATCATTCTGAAGCCTCCAGGGCTGTCTCTATTTTCTCAAATCTTAGGAGCCAGGAGAGCAGATCACAGGAGAGATGATAATATAATGCAAGAGAGGACATTCACATAAATGTCCCTACACCCCTTCATCGTTAAATCAGGGCAAGGACATCGTATATCATCCAGGAGAACTTCATCAAAATCCCTTCTCCCTTGAAAGAAATGTCAAAAGCCACAGGTTTTTCATCAAATTAAAGAACAAACACAGAATAATTATTCTGCACAGGATCGAAGCCCTGCTACTAATACTAAAGTGTGAGAGCGTAAAAACTTTGGGCTATTTGAAGTACAGGAAGTTGGTCAAAGGCCTCTCTTTGCACACAGCTAGTATTGTGTTAACAATTTCATGTAACAGTGTTAAAGTTCATCGTGGTCCATCTCCTGTAAGGTCTCCTCCGGACCCTAATTTCTGCACGGAAAGAGCTTGCTGCATATTTGTTACAGAAGAAGATGATAGTCTGAGTTTGCTCTGGAAAGCCCTGAAATGTTTTGTTGCCTCAGCTCCATCCTTTCCTCTTCAAACAACTCTTAGTCCTGTCCTGACAACACCCCATGTCTGAGTGTCAGGAAACGTATGGAAAGCCACTCTGACACCAAAACATGAAAGGGGTAGAAGTGATCTCTTAAGGATGACTCCAAAATGGGCTGAGGCATATGTGGGGAATGCAATTTATGATTTGGCCACATAATCCAACTAAAATTCAAGGGCTGTGCTGGGACCAAGGGACTTGGCAGATGCCCTTCCAACCCTAAAACATGTTCTGAGTTTTGTCTTAAAAATTTTTGCAAGGAAAAATATCTGTTTCACTAAATGGAATCCAGTCCATTCTTGGAACTTGGGAGTTTCTTCTGCTAGCTGCTTGAGAGGGCCAGCTCCAAAGTGGAATGCTCTTCTTGGAAAATGTACAACTGACCAGCCCAGGAAGAAATGGAATATGGATGAGGTCATCACCAAAACAGAAAAGAATTCAAGTGCCTTCCATGAAGCTGGAAATGAGGATGTCTTCTCCTGGTGCCCTGATGCCAATGCTAGCCACAGGATATGTTGCTCATTGGGAAATAAATAACTTTTCAAAAAATCTTACTAGAGAAGTTGCCATGCTTGGAGGAAAGGATGAACAGAGAGAGTAGTGTTTCTAATTATTGAAGTGTAGCTGTGCTTACTGAAGGTCCCAACATCCACAACCTCTCCAACTCTTGTCTGAAACTCTGGCTGGCAACTCTGGGTTAAATGGACCAAGGATCAACAGAGGGCAGC